TTAGACTAACTAAACTAACAACACTTTTATATAAAGCTTATTTTCTATTTTTTTTTATTATACACACTTATTTTTTATAAGATTAAAATATATATATATAACGTACCTAACGGGTTAGCCGGCTACTTTTGCTAAGCCTCTACTAAAACCACTCTATTCTAGCGTAAAACAGTCTACTTTAGCCCTATATAGAGTAATACAACACAAGATATTATTTAGAGTCTACTTTTACTACTTTCTTATATATATGTAAGTTATGCCTAGTCTAATTACACTGCTTATATTACCTTTAACTTAGCTTACCTTCTTTAGCGCGCATTTATGTCTTTAGCTTTTTTCTATTACTACACACTTTAAACTTCTTTAGAGTAGTTAGACAAGCCTTATTCTTAACTATTAAAGTTTTTTTTTACCTAAATCTGCTTTCTTTTATGTAATTTATGTTACGTAGTAGCCTTATTTACTGCTTAAAGCTTTATAATCTTCTTTTACACTAACACTAGCTTGTGCGCAATAATTAATGCCTATTTTAAAACTTTTTTAAAGGCCTTTACTATAAACATTAGTAAGCTATTTATATGCCTTTAAATTTTTACCTTTATAAGCATTAATTATAACTTAAATTTAAAAGTATTACTAAAAGTTTATAACTGCTAAAGCTTATTATTAATAAGTAGTAGTAGTAATAAAGTACATAACTAGATGTTAAAGGCTATTTTAACCTATTCTAAGTTAAATAGAACTAAACTAGCGCTTTAAAACTCTTTTTAGATATTACTAAAAGTAATTACTATATTATAGGCGTGTATAAAGCATAGTAGAAACTTAAGTTTTATAATATAAGTAATTTAGTTATACATAAGATTTTTAGCTTAGCGCCTATATACTTTTTTAAAAAGGCAAAATAACCTACATTAAGAGGCTATAAAAGGTGTAATAAGTGTAAAAGTATATAAATAGTAATAATTTTATTTTTTTAATAGTACTACTAAAAATTAAGTAAGTTATAGCTTTTATAGGTATTAATAATAAAAAGCTAATAAGCGCCTATAACTTTTTTTATATATGCTTATTAAAGTGCTTTAACTACTATAGCCTAAGCTTATTTATTGTCTAGCTGTTCTTAGAGACTGTAATAACCTAGTTTTAAGGCAGATTCTTCTTTTTATACTAGACAAAGAGGTAATAGCAGCTTTTAAAGATAATAAAAAGTAAAATAGCTTACTTTATTATATTAATACTTTAAATAACTATTATCTACTTTTTATTACTTTACTATATTACTTTTAGCTATTCTTATCTCTTTAAAGCTATAATAACTACTCTAGTTAATATTTAGCTTATTATAAAGCTTAACTTATTAAAGTTATACATGTCTTTATTCTAGATACTATACTTAGCTTTTATGTTAGCTACTAGGCAAAACTAGCTCTAGATAACCTTTAGATTCTTATAAAGTACTCTTTTATAATTATACTTATAATTAAACTTTATTATAAACTTAGAGCAGTGCTTAACCTACATACTAGGCTAGTTTAAGCTAACCTAGCCTAGATTACGCTCTGCGCGTAAAAAATTAGCTATATTAGCTATAGCTGTAAGCCTAGAGGGAAATTTACATGTAATAAGCTTAAGTATATACTTAACAACTACTTTTTTCTTAAGCTTAGTTAGATTCTTTAATTTAAGCTAGCATTCTACTTCTAAAGGCTGTCTAGCGTGTTAATTACTTAGTGTTATGTAAAAGACATTATAGATAGCTACAGTGTGTTATAAGAAGAGTTTTAAGTTTTATTTAAAAGCCTAAAAAGTAAGCTATATCTAATGTTCTTTAGAAGATTTAATCTAGTGTTGTTGTTAAGGCATTATGTAGATAGGTAGAGTGTAGTAGGGGCTTGGCAAATGTGGCTAGCCAACCTGTGTGGCCGGCCAACCCGTTAGGTACGTTATACAAAAAACAGTTTATTTGTCTAGTATATAAAAAAAAAGCTACAAGCTCTCTCTAGAACACACCACCCCTTATGTGTAGTAGTTATAATGCAGACTATAGCTCTACTATATGTATAAGGTGTAAGCATTAGCCTAGAAGTTAGCTAGCATATAATACTTAATAATAATAAAAAGCACTAGTAGTGCTACTATAATAATAAGCATATAAAGTTACTAAAACTTAACTATAACTCTAGACTAAGACTGCATAAAAGTACTTTTTATAATATATAACTTTTGCTGCCTATAGCTGCAGATTAGTGCTAGTAGGTAAAATAATGTTAATAGTATAAAATAGTAAAGCTACTACATGCTACTTTTTAGCTTATTTATAATTAGCATTTTATATAAAAAAAAGTAAAAAAGCTAAAAAAGTTTATATATTTATACTAAGATGCTATATAAACTGCTAATTAGTAGTAGAACTAGTTAAAAGGGTAACATAAATGCGCCCTAGGCTGCTAGACTACATAAGGACGTTAAAAACGCCCGCGCTAACCGCGCTAGAGGTAGAGAAGGAGGGCTAGAGAGACATCTGCGTGTGTGTGTGTGTGTGTGTGTGTACAGGCAGGAGTATCTGTTACTGTTAGCACTGTATAAAAAGAAAAAAGAGCTAGGGAATTATATAGTAGGGCTTAAAAAGTAAAGAATAAAGAAAAAAAAGTTAAAAAAAAACCCCCTTATTATATACACCTCTTTACACACCTGCTTATATAAAGATCCTACACTATTTTATTATAAAACTTTACATAAAACAGCTTATACACTACTAAATTACTTATAAAGTAAGCATATAAAGTCTAGATAATAATAGCTTAAAACACTTTATACTATTTATAAAGCTATTTATATAGTATAACTAGCTTATTTTAATGTACAGCATTACTAAGGTAAGTTCTAATAAATAAAGTAAAGTATAGGTAAAATATAACTAGATAGACCTACATAGATAAAAGAAAAGTAACTTTTTAGATAAAAACAAAAAGTTACTAATGTTTATATATAGTAGTAGTGTTATAGCTTAGATATAAGTAATTACGCATAAGCAGGATTATATATTTATGTTATATAATGCTTATGTGTAAACCTTTATGCGCAAATATCTAAATATCCTCTTTTTTTTCTATATAGAGGAAAGATAAGAGCAATAGAACTAGAAACATGTTGCCCTTACCCTACCTACCCTGTACGCTGTGCACACTGTACACCACTCTTACTCTTGCTACTTAAGCGCTTATACTATAAGCAGCTAGCTAAAAGAGCCTATTCAACATAAAATATACTTTTAAAAAAATATAAGCACTTACTAAAGTAGTAAAAGTAAAGTATATATATATAATAATATATAAATATACGTAAATATATACGTAAACGTTAAGTTTATTTAGTTGAATTATTTTACTTAGTTTACTAAGTTTATCTAAATATAGTAGTCTAAGTAAAATAATAAAAAATAAAGTTAAAAGTGCTATAAATTTTAAATAGCTAATGAAGACTTACGTTATACTTTTATACTATTTTTAATAAATAGAAATTACTAGATTACTATAGTAATTACTATACATACCTAGTAATAGTAATTACTATTGCTAGGGCTAAAAAGTTGCATAGTAATTACTAGGTGCTTATAGTAATAGTAATTACTATTACTAAAAAGTAGCAATCCTAGGGTAAAGCAAGGATAGAGCAGATACAAGGAACCTTTAGACATAAGGTTTGCTAGGTAACTTGAAATATAATTTAAGCAAATTGTTATAAAAGCTGCAGCATGTTACTTTAAAATTGTGACATTTTATTTAAAAGCTTAGAGTGTAAGCTGTATCTAACATTCTTTTAGCATGTTTAAGTAGTGTTATTAGGAATGTATTAGTGTAAGAAAAGTAGTTTAGTGTAGTCTTAGCAAAAGTAAGCAACTTAGGTGTGTAAGCAACTCGCCTGTAGTCTACGTTACCTTACAATTATAAAATAAAAGTACTTTTAATCTCTACAAGCCTTAGCACGCTAGTGTCTGTTAGTATATTTATATATAATAACTATGAAAAATCCTTTAAAGCCTTAGAGCTAGTCTCTTTTAATATATAAAAAGTACTTAAATGCTTTAAAGTGCAACTACGCACTCTACTAAAACCCTCTACACTATTGATGTTAGAAAGAAATGTGCGACCTGCCGGGGAGACCACGAGGCGTGGAGCCGCTGATACGTAACTAGGACGGAGGAGCCGGCTAAGGTAGAGGCCGCATACAGTAGCTGACTGTAGTACCACCTTGTTCCAGAGAAAAGCAGCGAGAATACCCAGTTAGACAGAACGCCAGAAGTTCCGGAACAGGCCAAGCCCTAGCCCATCCTAGTCTAGAAAAGGGAGAAGAGAACCAGCACTGAAAACACAGCTAGCACGCGAGATGAGGAGAACCAGCCGGCGAGAGAGACTGGCAGCTAGATACTGCAGAGAATAATTGTGCTCTCTAGAAGGGCCCTGGAAGCGGTTGAGAATAGCGCACAGCTGACTTGATGGGAAAGCCAGCAAATGAACGTTGATGGAATATAGGAGCATGAATCAACAGACTACACTAAGCACACTACAGTATAACGATTGAGAACTAAAGGACGTGGTCATGTGCGGCCTAGAAGGGTTGGGAAAGAATATAGCACCGGGTGAAGCCATTTCGAAAGTGTTTAGCTGATGGTTTCTCATTGTTGTTCTAGTCTGTCTTAGAAAGGAGGAACAAATGTGGTGTCAAATTTGTTAACTCTCAAAGGACACGAAATCCAGGCTTAACTTCAACATTTGAATGCGGCACTGCGATCCGCTTTCTGCTTTCAAGCATTAATGGTAAGCCGGTAGCGTCCCCTTACAGAGGAGGGTGTCAGGCAACGGACATGATGTGCAGTGGTGGCAACATGTATGCAGGATGATCGCCTTTCATTAATCCCGAGACCCCACAAGCCGCTTTGAGCTTTTGGTCAATCTCCCACTGTGTAACACGTGCAGCCCTCGATGGAATATATGTCACTCGATTGTTCATACCTAGAGTACACGATAGGTGAATAACCTTGCGTATCTCGAAAGACTAACTCCTTCGGCTAGGCGCCACTACACTCGCACTCGTAAAAGTCGCAGTCAACTTTCCACCATGAGCCTTCTGCCTCTGCTTGGCGGTAATCCCTATTTTATCCAACGTTGGTGTAGCCTTCATAAGTTTGTCAAACTCGTCATCCAGTCCCTCATCCTCGAACTCTGGTCCATCATCGTCGTAGGCTTTTACTGGCGCAGGTCTCACAATGCTCTCGGGCTGCTTCTTGTGGTCTTCGGGAGATTTGGGATTGGAGAAGGGTTTTGAGGCTAGCACTCGGCGGCGCAATTCTGCCATTTCTTCTTCGTCATCTGAGGATTCTGGCAGAGCGTATGGATCTCGTTGCGGTATCTCATCTTTGTCATCAGCATAATCACCCTCCTCCTCCTCCGCCTCACCATCAGTCCCCTTATTCTTCTTCTCTCTATCCTCGCCTTCGTCATTCCCCTCGTCGGAGTTATCAATAATCCGTCTATTCATATTTCCACCAGCCCAAACATCCTCCACTCCGTCCTCCCTCTTTGCCCTACTCTCACTATACTCTCTCTTGATCTTTTCTAGCCACACTTCCTCCGCCTTCTTGATCTCCTCTTCTGTTTCACAGGCGGCATATCGCTTCAACAACGCCGCATTAATATCCAGGAAAGCTTCCCCGTAGGAAAAGGAGGCGAGGATTTCCGTTGCCCATTCTGAATGTCCACAGATGGAGTAGCAAGCTGCCAACGCCTCGACGCAGTTAAGACGCCAGGGTCGACCGTAGTTTGTGGGATTCGCAGCGACAAGATAGGGCACTATTTCCGCGCTGTAGGCATACAAAAACTCACTTCGGGAAGACGTTGGAACATACGCAATCTCTCACACTTGCCCCCAATCCTCCCAAACGGCACCTCATCAATCCTGTTCCAGCTGGCCTCCACCACCGCCGCCCCATACTGCTCCACCAACTCCTTGTCCTCCTTGCTAAGGATCTTCTTCGCTTTAGGCGAAACGACGACGCCCGCGAACCTCTGCCCAATATGCAACTCCCTCATTAACCCTAACCGCACCAGTTTCTTCCCCGAACACCGTTTCGCGTCGCAGTGTCCGAGATCCCAGCATGCAGCCTTGAAGCTCGGTTTCGATTTTATCCCGTTACCGTCCGCTTCACCGTCTTGGGGTCGTAGAGGGCCGCGAGCTCGGGGTGGTTTGGAGTATTTCCCCCCGGGTTTAGAGCTGAAGTTGTCCTTTTTGTGGCGCACCATTGTGTGGAGATTTTCTGCGTTGATGGTGGTGCTGTTGGAAAGACTGGGAATCAGGTAATTTGGGTGGGGAATCTGGCGAAGCGAGAATGCCAAGACATTTCAACAATTACAAGCTAAGTGGACCAGCCTGCAATAGTTACCTAATACGTATATTTTAGGCTTAATCTTGTAGTTAAAGTAAGGCGGTTTAGATTGCCTAATTAAGTAATAGCAAAGCTAAAATAGCAGTTGCTAAAGCAGTGTCTAGGAATTGTATCTTTAGTTTTATACTAAATTTCATCAGCTAACACACAGTCTTGTCTAGCGGACGCACATAACGTATCTCTGGTATCGGGCGAGGATCTCGGGGAGCTCCTCCTCGTCCAGGACAGTGTCCCAATTGTTTAGCCGTTCTTGCGGCCCCAGTCTTTTTAGGCGTGGCACGATTCAGCATCCAAAAGCCCCGATTTGCGCAACGGTTCCTTATCTTTCCCCACCTGTTCTCCAGTCTGCTCGAATCCAAAACCGCGACCGATCCAGAGGACAAGAGAGTCCAAGAGGCCTCTCGATCGAGGTACTTCCATCGGGGCAATCCACATGTTTAAAGTAATTCAATTCATTAAACCCACGATAATACTCCCTTCACTCATTTTCCTACGGCCAATGTGACGCATCATCCTTCATTGCCTCCCGCACAGCAGCCGTTCGATGCCTGGACAACTGCGAGACTTTGTCACCATCGAAACCCTTGCTGCAGCCCTCTCTAAGTGACGTGATTCATTGACGCTGCCTTCTAGATGAAGTGTATGGTTGTCTTGGCAATCGCCAACAGATTTTGCATTTTAGGCCTGCGGAATGGAACATACTGGCTCACGGTTCATGGCTCATTTGTAGCATGTACAACTCATGAGTATGTGCTTGCGGCCCGAATCACTGACCTAGTGGTTACCAGTAGATGATCCCTGAAAGGAGCAGCTGCACAGCAGTACACCCCAGATCTCCTTCAATGTCGGCGCAGCCTTCAACGTGCTTGATAGCGTCGAACTAAGCTACGCGCAGTTGCAGCTCCAGCCTGTAGCTGCAAAGTACTGCTACTATTGAATGGCCGTACGTTGTCAGATGCAGTGGGAAGGCATGGCTGGGAGCTGACCGACTTTGGATTGCATTAACACCAACTCCACTGGCCACTTCATTCCACCGACACATGCGAAGTCACAAAAATCATATGCACACCTCCGAAGTTCCAAAACAAAGATAAAGCTTGAGGGTTGTCCCGAATGACCGTCATCATCCAAGTCCACCGAAATTATTGCATTGCCGTTAGGCATTTTAGACTTGTGTCAACCTTTTTGCGCACTGGTCAATCGGCCTTTATTGATCTACGTATTCACCATGTCTTCTCTAGCTTTTCGACCCCGCGGGCTTATCAAGAGTCCGATAATGGAGGTTTTGTATCGCAAAGCTCATATTGCGAACGTCTTTACTGGAATTACTGATCCTAAAGAGTATGAAACAACCGCTCTTGCGGAAGTTATGTTCTATACCGAATTCACCGTCGCCGAGAACTTTATAGTGAATATTCAGTACCCGCCTGCACCTGGATCCACGCTCGGTGCGGCCATGCCATCAGATATCTGGAAAGTGGAACTGCGAGAATTTGTATCTTTGACATCAATGAATCCAGCGGACCAGAACAAATCAAGCGTTCAGTTTGAAAGCACTAGAAAAACAGGCCAGCGACTACTGTAAAGTATACCTTGAGAGGGAACATGACATACCGTTCGTGTATGCCTCCACCATGGCAGGCGCCCACATTAGGTTATGGAAATATTGGCGTGAGCAAGCGCCGGTAGTCATAAACAGATCCAAGAGCGATTAATAGTAACCAGATCCCTATAGATCAATAGTGACGGCTAGTTCGCGAGCAAGATCCTCATCCTTAAAATGTGCGAAATGTTCCCCCCGTGTAGCACCCCATTTCTGAAATTCCGGGGGAAAGGAACCGCTGTACTCCCAGTCGATGATAGAGATCACCTCCAATGTTTCCACATCCATCATGACGTTGTGGGGTTCGAGATCGCCATGGGTCATAACTTATTCTTCCTTGTGGGACGTTTTTGGGCTCCCAACTTGGTCGGTCGACGGAGCCCAAGATCCACGTGGAGGGGATCACCAATCCATTGAGTCCCGTCGTGGATGATTTGAGACTTCTCAGCTCAGGTAGAAGCTTTTCTTCGACGAATTGATTGAAATTCTTCTGAGCTAAGTCGGCGCATTGGTCGCACTTCTTGCCAATCTTCTCTCCATTGAGGGAATGGAGGTTCGGCATCCGGAACTCATCCCCAGCCCTTTCGGGTTGGACTCCCGGAACAAGATCCGTCTCAAGAAGCAGCAATCCTTAGATAAACTAACTTTTATATAAAAAAATCTTTTATAAAAGAGAAAAAAAAATAACTTTATAAAAATGCTATAAAAGTAGAACTAAAGCTTACTATAAACTAAGCCTTTTAGAACAGTAATGCTGCACACTGCACTAGTGCAAAAAGAAAATATAAATACTAGAAAAAGTAAAAAGTAAAAGAAACCTATATAAAGTCTAGACTAGGTATTTCTAACCTAGAAAAAAAATAATTAGGTCTTATTTATTAAGCTTTATATAGATAGTGTAATTACTACACTTAAAAAACTATTTAAAGAATTAGACTATATAAAAATAGACATATTAATTACTAACAGCACTTTTAAAGTTATAGCGTATAACTTAATAAAGTATAAAAGTTAGATTTTTAACTTTTACTTTATATAAAAAGTAAAAAGCAAAATAACTTAACTATATAAGAAATCCTGCCTAGTGTTTACTAGCTACTTAGATAAAAAAAAAAAATCTTACTTAATTATTAACTATCTAGAAAATAAGCTAAAAATTACTTTTAGCTATAAAAGTAAGTCTAAGAGCTACATATAAAATGCATTTTAAACTATGTAATATTACATAAGTATATATTTAATTAATAAATAAGCTTATGCGCACACTATACACAAAGATACTAAAAAAAATACGCTAAAGCTTTCTACTAAATATAATACTCTAGGTTGTACAACTTTTATATAAAGCTACTAAATTAGGACTGTATTAGTTTAAGACATACTATAACTACTATAAAGAAAAGCTGTGTATGCATATCTTTTTATATAACTTTTACTTTTTAATTACTAATAAAAAAAAGCACACTTTTAGTATTATGTTACAGCCAACAGTCAGACTGTAGTAACCCAACTGGCTGTCCCGCACAGCCCGAACGACGTTGGATGGAAGACGCTTAGCCCCGCGCTGAGCGAATCACGTGACAGGACGGATGAGGAATGGCTTTAGCTTTTAGACAAAAGCCTTGCGGAATGTACTGTCTAATGAGACATGCAGGCTTGCAGGCTTGCAGGCTATGCAGGCTGAACAGAAACCTGCATGCAAGCATGCAAAGCATGCAAACCCCATGTATATAGTCCTAATTATAACTATAGTTAGAAGCAGGGTTGCCACTTTATAGTAATTACTATTTTTAAAATAGTAATTACTATGTTTTTAAAAACGTTATTATTACTTAATTACATAAGCTATAATTCTAAAAATTAATATATAGATGCTAAGTAAACTAGTCTATAAATCTATAAATTTAAATTCTAAAAATTATATTTAATACATTTATAATAAATAAAAAAGAGAGAAAAAAAGGAGAGAAAAATAGTAATTACTATTACTATTACTATTTCTGCTTTTTTTCTCTGTTTTTCTCTATTACTAGGGATACAAATTTATATAGTAGAATCTAATCTTATAGATCTATACTTTAGTATACCTAGTATCTAAGTTTAGGTTTTTAGAATATTAGCTAATGTAATTAAGCTGTTATAGACTTTTTAAAAAAATAGTAATTACTATTTTAGAATAGTAATTACTATAAAAGTGGCAACCCTGGTTAGAAGGTTATAATTACTATTTAGTTTATTATCTACCCTTACCTATTTAATAAACTAAAAGGCATTAAAACCTTTATAAAGAGGACATTACTACCTTATATATCTTACACTATATATACCTCTATTTCTATCCTTATAGATTAGGTTTACTAGCTACTTATACAGCTACTAAGTTAAACTACAACCTGCCTTCCTTTTATTCTGCCTACTCTATACCCTGCTTAATAGACTGTACACCTAATCTAGCTTAGTTCTATCCTCTAACCTGCTTACAACATTTAAGGCTGTTGTACTCTTAAAAATACTATTTTACTAAAGTAAAAATTATAACAGTAATTACTACTACCTGCAAAGTATAGCTACTACTACCTTAGACATTAGCATGACAGGCGCTTTAGCTGCTGGCACTAGCCAGACTCCTACAGTAACTAAAGAAGCATAAAATTAGCAGATACTCTATCTTTAAAATAAGCTTAAACAGCTTAAACAGCACCTCTAGCTATAGGCATAATAAGGACCTTTAAATATCTACTAAATCTAAGCCCTCTAGCTAGAAGTAGCTAACCTTAGAAACATTACTTAAAAAAGAACTAGTATTAAGTCTAAAAAGACTCTGCACCTAGCCTTCTTTAAAGCATTTAATAGCTTTGCTAAAGACTTAAAACCTTTCTTTACTAAATGCCACCTTTACATGTAATATAATAAAGGTGCTTTTAAAACAGACAAAGAAATAATTTTATAAATAAGCCTACACTTAAAAAAGTTACCTACTATTTAGTTCTAACCTTACACTAATAACTAGATAAATTATAAAGTAAATAGTAAACTTTTACTACTAAAAACATAAAAAGTTTTTAACAACCTTAATTTATTTAAAGCAGCCCTAACTATAATTTATAGGCTAGTTAATAAAAAAAAATAAGTAGTTAACAAGATAAACACTCTCTAACAAGGCAACAGCTCTGTCTAATAATATGCAGCCTGCTTTAGGGAGCTACTAGCCATCTGCAGATGGACAGACAAGAAAGCTATAGAACAAATGTTCTATAAAGGGCTCTTAGATACTATTAAGAATAAATTTACTTATATAAAGAAGCCTAAAAGCTTTAAAGATTATATTAAAAAAGCACTTACTTATAATAAAAGACATGCTAAATAATATAGTAAAAAAAAAGGCTAGACAACTAGAAAACCTAACTAGTTCTAGAAGAAGAAAGAAGTTTTATAGGCTAACAGCAAACTTATAGACCTTAGTTACGCTAAACACACGTGTAGCTTCTCTAAGAAAAAGAGTAATACTTTTAGAAGTGTAAAGCCACCTCTAAATAAGAAATAAAAAATAGCTTAAAAAAAGCATACTTTAACTATAAAAAAGTAGGCTATTTTTATTAGAAATGTCTAGACTTTAAACAACTAAAGAATAAAAATAGCAGATTAACTATAAAAGCAATGCATATAAAATAAGGTCTAATAAGTTAAGAAATTCTAGATAGACTAGATAAACATCTTTACTAGTAATGTAGGGATAACTATAAATCTAAAGGATGTTTTACAGAATACTAGAAAGTTAAAGTACAAGATAATAATAAAGTATTTAGGGTACTAAAATAAGCTGCTACTTATAAAGAATAGTAAGGCTATACCTAAGCTACAACATATGTTGCAAATGTTAAAGAAAAGAAAGAAAAGTTTCCCTTAAGACAACTAATAACAGGAATCTCTGCTTAGAAGCTAAGATACTAATTTACTTATAGCAACTGCTAGAAATGCAGCAACACTTACAACACACAAAGCTGTAAAAAGTTAATGTACAAGGTACACATTAATAATAATGCTAAAACTTATAGTATACTAAAAGAAATTACTAAAACATAATATGCAGTTATAAATACTAAAGAATAATAGAAGATGTTCTAAAAATTTTTTAATAGCAGTAAAGGCCTTAACTAGTAATGCACACTACTATTAACACCTAACCTATGTTAAGAATAAAGTAACATACCTTCTCTAGCATTAGCTATTACCTGTAAGGATCTAGAAACTTAATAAGACAAGGGATATTACATTCTCTATAGAAGTAAGTAATATAATAAGTTCTAATGTACTTACTAAAGCTACCTGCTATAAGTAATAAGAACTAAGGAGTACTTAAGGTAGACATAGGTCTAGCTAATACTAGTATAAAACAACCTTAGGGAATGCCTCTATACCTAGTACCTGTGCAGTAATAAGTACTGCATTAAACATTAGCTAACTAAGCACAGGGCTAGCTAGTAGCTACACAGAATGTAAGAGAGTGCACTTAAAACTAACACACTAACTAGCATAACATCTACCTGCAAAATGCCACATTGCCTCTACTGTAAGGACAGTATAGACTATAAATAAAAACCTTAGACAGAATGCAACAACAAAGCAGCATGTACGTTCTACTACTTCTAATAAAGAGCACACTAGCAAAATAACTAGATGCTATACTACTATAAGATAGAAGACGCCTAGTGCACTATATTAAAATACATAATATAAGGGCATTAAAAATATAAAGTGTAGCTAGACTAAATTACAAAATATAAAGACGCAGCTAAAGCTGTTAAAGAAAATAATAAAATAGACTATAAAAAAACACTTTATAAACTCTGTGTTTTTATTATAGTAGAATAAGGACTAAGTTAAAGCCTAACAACTAAACTTACCCTTTAACACTTAGGCTAGGAATAGACAGGACTTGCCTTAATAGACAGCAGATGCATATTTATAGTAATTAACTTAAGATAAGTTAACTAGAACAACATACTCTTTTAAAAAAAAAAGCACTTTTTTAAAGTATCCTTAGCTAATGCCTTGTTAATAAAGTATAGCGC